GACGGAGGACCAAGGGGGAGAAGAAGGGCGGAAATGGTGGGGGAAAGGGAGAGAGGCAAACCATGAGAGACTCTTGAATGCTGACAAAAACTGAGGACTGATGGATGTGGGGGGGGAGGGGGGGATGGGCATGGAGGAGGGCACTTGTGGGGATGAGCACTGAGTGTTATGTGGAAACTAATTTGGCAATAAACTATTTGTAAAAAAAAAAAAAAAAAAAGAAAAGACACTCTCTGGAAAGTCTGGACCGCATGGGGGCAGGTGGATTAAAAGAAAGAGAAAGCTTGTTTGCAGAGCAAATGGTTGGCTAGGTGGCGTGGGGCTATAATAGGAGCCGCCCAGGCAGTGTCATGATGGCTGGGGCCAGGCAGGGGTGGGGTGGGGGGGTGGGCTGTGGAATGTGAGGCAGAGCAATCAGAGACAACGGAACGGAACTGGGGTGGGGGGGACCTGAACCGATGCAGTGGCCCCGAGGAAACATGCATCATCCCTGGAGCCTCCCACAGATAAACGAGTCCATTCCCAAGAGACGAGGAAGGAAACCAATGCTTACTGGCACTTGCTAAGTGCCAGCTCCCACCATGAGTGGGGGTCTGAGGGTGAGCATGGAGCCGGACCCGGAGCATCGGCCTCTCTCAGTGGGTCACTGGACTTCGTGCCTCAGTTTCCTCACCTGTAAAATGGGCAGAGCCCTCTCGCTATGCAGTCCTGCATAGCGAGTGAGTGAAATCATGGGAGTACTTAGCACCGCGTCTGGCACTGAGAAAACCCTAAGAGTAATGGCCGTTGTCACTCCTGTTTGTCCCTTTCATTCCCTTTAACAGCCTAAGAAATTTTTTTAAAATTTTTTGTTGAGAGAGAGCAAGATCACTCACAAGCAGGAGAGGGGCAGAGAGAGAGGGAGAGAGAGAATCCCAAGCAGGCTCCTCACGGTCAGCGCAGAGCCTGACACGGGGCTCGATCCCAGGAACTATGAGATCGTGACCTGAGCGGAAATCAAGGGTTGGACGCTTCACTGACTGAACCACCCATGTGCCCCAAAATGGGGTTTTTTAACCCCATTTTGGAGGCAAGGAGAATGACGGAGAGAATGTCAGGTTCCCACAGCCAGGATGAGGCGGAGGCTCGGCTCCCACCACCTCAGGGAGGAACTTCAGGCTTCCTGGCAGACCAGGGAGGGAGGGGGAAGGGTACCCACCCAGAGAC